AAGTCGGTGAATGCGAATTCATATGTCTTTCCAGCATCTCCAGTGAGCGTATAGGTGCATGTGAGCTTTTTGGTGAACGCGCTTTGCGGTACTTTCCAACCACTGGCTAGGTCGGATATTTTCAAATCAGTAGTACCACATTCGTCTGTGCCAGATCCTCCGCCAACTGTGAACGGCAATATAGAAACGAAGAAATGCGGCGCATGAGATTTACTGAATAGTGGATTATTCCTGAATCGTTCATGTCATTCAATGCCTCCAAGTGTTGATCCGTGACCCATCTGATATGTGAGCATTCGGTATTCGAGTTCACGTCACAAAGAACCGAACATGTTTCTTGCAATCGTTTCAAGCATTTATTTCCATTTGACCGACGTTTCGCTTGATCGGATTTTAGTTTTTTTATGTGGACCATACAACTGTTTAGCAAATCATCACTTGATCGAACGGTTACTAAAACGTTCGTAACGACCATTATCCTCCATGTAAGCTGGTTTCAATCGATGCTAGTTGACTTCCAAAAGGGCTTTTGCTTTTATCCACGACAGTCGTATGCCTGGTATGATTACGGTCATCATACAACTCAATATAGGCTTTCGGAAATAGGACGCATATCATAGCCGAACACAGTGTGTTAGAGTTCCAAATCAGCTGAAATAATTATCTAGTTTACCTTATTGGTGATCACATATATTTCGGATCAAATGGATAATTTTGTTTACGGTTATGTGATAGATCATTGATTCAGCTGGCAAATCTCATAAGTGTAAATCGTTTAGTCTTCAACGTCGAGCTGTTCGATATTTCTGGATCAACGAGGATGGGATGAAAGTATGGTTACTTATAACTCACCTTCAGTGATGGTCGCAGTAAACGTGGTTGTCGCAAAGTCGTCCGAGTTGATGGTCAATTTCACATAGAACACATTCGATGCGGACGTGAATTTATCCGACGGAGCCGACTGACCGCACTTCTTGAAAGGCGGTTGCCCGGTGAAGTCATTTTTATCGTTCACTTCCACATAGTCCTTCGCACAGACACCCGCGTCCGTCCCAACCTGTTGGCGATAGGGAACGAAATGTGCATATTGCTTCGAAATAGACCAACACACAAACAAACACTAAACACACAGCAGATTATTTTGAACCATCCCTGCATCAGCATATTCGCGTATAAGTGAACAGAAAGATGAACGAACATTCGCAAACAACCATTGGTGGAGTTGACGGACATGTGGCTTTTTTGGGGTGAGTGTCAACGAGTGAATGGGAGCACATGCTGCTTGATTGTGAATGCAAAGTCGCTTTAAAGCTCGCAACGTTCGTGCAAGTGGCCATTGACATAATATCGATCGGTCGTGGTTTATTCACTCAGCAGCTCGCTTTGTATCAAAAATATATATAGATTAACAAAACGTTGAAAAATGGTTCTCGTAGCTCGGGTAAACTGATTTCTATTTCGCCTGTTCACCGAGCTTGTCAATTCGTTTGCAAACGTTTCATCATCAGCCGAGGTGACATCATCAGTGCCACTACACAAGCACTGACGATGTCACCTCGACTGGTGATGAAACGTTTGCAAACGAATTGACAAGCTCGGCGAATAGGTGAAATGGAATATATAGATATCGCTGCGTATAAAGACACACCTTTGTACTTATTCAATACTTCTATAAGATTTTGAGCTTTGTGATTGACAAGTGAATAACAGAACGCTTTCTCACCTTTAAGTCGGTGAATGCGAATTCATATGTCTTTCCAGCATCTCCAGTGAGCGTATAGGTACATGTGAGCTTTTTGGTGAACGCCTTTTGCGGTACTTTCCAACCACCGGCTAGATCGGATATTTTCAAATCAGTAGTACCACATTCGTCTGTGCCAGATCCTCCGCCAACTGTGAACGGCAATATAGAAACGAAGAAATGCGGCGCA